CGTTGATACCATATAATTCATAAAAATTTATCAAACTTATGAGCATACTCAACATAATGTAATGTGTATAAATTTACGGATGGATATCTTGCCATTTTGAAAAGAAAATTACCGGACTCACTAATATCAGCAAAATGCATGGGTCAATAGTTAGATCAAGGGATTTTATGAAATATAAAATCAGATTTGATTATTAATAAATGTAGTATATATTTGTTTTATTTTAGGACTCTAACTTCTACTGGTTTGCCTTGGGATGTATGGTTTTGGATATCATTCGAGATGTCTAGTGGGTTTTTCCTTTGGATAGTGTAGATCTTCAGCATATTTGAGACTTTGTTACGATGCGGCCTTCAATGGGTCTTCCTGACCATTTTGTCTGGAAGGGTCACTCTTTTGGCAGATTCTCTATTGACTCAGTTTGGAATGTGTTATTGGATAGCCGGGATGTGAACTCAATTCATCATCTCTTGTGGTTTTTGGGGCATATTCCATGCCACTCATTTATTTTATGGCTCACTTTTCTTGGTCTGTTTCGCATCATGGATCATCTTAGCCCTCAAGGTGTCATTGTATCTTATATGTGTCTTTTGTACAGGTTTGATATAAGAGACTCGTGAGCATCTGTTCTTTAGTTGTGACTTCTCTTCTTATGTATGGAAATAGGTTACTACCAAGACGCTCTCTACTTGGCCATCTTTCTCTTGGTTCTCTTTGCTCCAATGGACTAGTTTGCATCTCAAGCGTAAAGGGGACTTCAGACACCTTCTTTCACGGTTAATCATTTCTTCTACAGTTTTATTCTATGTGGCATAAATGGAATAATCATGTGTTCCATCAACATTGCAACTCTCGCAGGGATATTGTGATGGCTATCTATGATTTAGTTTAGGCCAAAGCCTAAGTATGAGATCTTGGCCTAGCTCCATTCGATATGACATTTACCTAATTAGTTTTTGTGGGTAGCCTACGTGCTTTTTTTGTGTCGTTTGTGGGTTTTTCCATGTTTTGCTTGAGATTTTTTGTCTTCGCTTAAGGTATGTCCCTCATATCTTTCTATATTAATTTTGTCTCATTTATTCAATTCTTACCTTATCTAGAAAAGAAAAAAAAAAATTATTCCCATCATTGAGCCATTGCACTTTTATAGAAAATTTGTTAAGCAACAACAATAATCAAATACTTTATTAGAAACAAAAATAAAAAATGAATCTAAATAAATACTTGATTATCAAATCAAGAATGACACACTTTATGATCAAGAAATGTACATCCATGTGATCAATTAAGTAGAGTTTCTAGCTCAATTTCGAAAACTATAAACAAATACAAGTGAATAGGATAAGAAAGATGGAGATATTACCTCTCGTACCAGTCTTTCCTTATAAGAAAAGTGGGTATTACATTGTTTACACAAAAAGAATTTATTGTTTGCAACATAACCAAATGGCCAAAATGGAAGTGATGGTGGTGGCCACAGATACATTGGCATAGTTTACCATTAATAAAAACATCTCATGACCATCCCAAAACAATAATGAGCTCCTACAATAAGCTTATTCTATTAGGACCAACCAAAAGTTACTTCAATGTCTACCATAATGTTATTTTCATAAACTAATGTTATTTTCATAAACTTTCATATTTAGCAAATAATTCCTGCTTGATAGAAACTATTGAGATTTTCTTGAGGATGAATCTGGTCAAGGAACACAATAACCATTAGGTTACAAGGTTTGAACTCACTTTAGAGTTTGAATAATATTCCAGGTGACGCCTATCATTCTGTGGCATCTTTGACAACGCACAGGTGACGCCCAAGTAGTGCCCTCAACAAGAGGTAGAAGGTCCTCTGGGTTCTCAACCTTCAAGTTGATACTACATAATCATCATAAATTAACTAAGTATCAAACTTAGCCCAATACTTGATATAATGAAACTAAGTTTATCAGATTCATCTATATGGTACTGCTTAATTCTATCCAAAAAGATATATGAACATATCTATTATTTGAGATTAGATGAATAGATATCTTATCATGGTTCTAGAAAGGAAATTTACTCTTTCTCAAAATCTTGCAAAATGTATTGAAAACAATAGTCAGAAAAGAAAATCCACAATCTCTTAATAAATACTTGATTATTAAATCAAGAATGTACATCATGAGATCAATTAAGTTTTAAGAAATCATAAAACCCTAAAGTACGGAATCAACAAGAAATGTATATCATGAAATCATGATAATCAACAAGAAATGTGCATCATGAGATCATGAGAATCAACAAGAATCTAGTTCAGTTATAAGAAACCATAAAATTTTAAATTACGGAATCAAATTTCATTATTTTCTTGATATTGGTAAGTAAAGAAAGATACACACACATACAGATATGAGAAAGTGGGCAATGTTGCTATAGGATTAATTGAGAGTTTTATGGAAGGTTCCAATGTAATGGAGAATGCTAAGTTGAGAGGTTCAAGCTCTAATGGAGATGGCTTTAGTGAGAATGAGAAGCTTTGAGTGATGGGAAGTGTAGAGAATGTCATAAGTAACGAAGACTTTCCAGGTTTGGGTGGGAGTTTGGCCAATCAAAAGAATAGGGGATTTAGCTCATCCTTGGTCGTGAACAATAAGGGTGGGCATGAAGTTTTTCAAGGTGTTTGGAAAGGCCTCTTTTCTTCAAATAGATCAATTGCTAGCTTGCAGTTCATAAAATCCGAGGAGGGAAAAAATGGAGAGATGGAGGTTGAGCTTACTATTGAAACAGCAGCTTTGGGAGAGCAAAAGTGGAAGACTTCTCTTGTTGGTTTTGGAATTGGGAAAAAGTTACCATTTGTCTTGGTAAAAAAGTTTGTTGAAAAATCTTGGTAAATCTTTTGGAGAGGTAAAAGTTATGTCCAATGGGAAAGGATGTTTTATTCTTAGATTTGAAGTTATTAAAGTGAAGTTGTCTAGCTAGCAGTGAAAGGGTAAAGGTGAGAGTTGAGTATAGTTGGACGCCTTTAACATGCTATTGGTGCAAAACCTTCGGTCATGTTCAAAAAAATTGTTTACTAACCCCTAGGAGTTCCAATTGAGTATAGTTGGAAGCCTATAACATGCTCTTGGTGTAGTAAGCTTCTCATCATCAGAAGATGTGTCGAAGTCAATAAGATAAAGATCATAATTAGGTAGAACAAGGAACTAGTCTCGATGGGCTTAAGACACGTGAGTCTTGATTAAAAAAGGGTTGTTGAACAAAGCCATGAATGCTTTGAAAACACACTTGAATCGGCATATAGATTTGACTGGAAGTTTTGGAAGTATATGGTGGAATATGATTTCTTGGGGAAGAAACGCCACGCCTAGCAAGGAAAAGAAGTCTAAGATTTAGGGTTTGTAGTAAGAATCATCTCATACAAGTTAGACATGAAGCTTATATAATGGGAAAGCGAGAAAATATCATATGGTAAATAGGATTGAAATTGATAAGAGGACTAATTCAAATAAGATTCTATAACCCTTTTACTAAAACCTGCATTACAATGGATTAAGTTCCTCTTTTATTATATTCCATCATATCGAATAATAGAAGTCCCCAATAACCATTGATTTCAAAGTTGATTTTTTTTTTTTTCCCCCCCTTCAAACTGTTAGATTTAATAAAGAAAAACTAACAAGGATAGTGATTGGTAATATGTCAAAAGTTAAGATCAAGCTATGAATTTGGATACCTTATGGGATATTAGCTAATGAGTAATGCTATGTGCACTAACCAATGTGTACTAATCCAAGTACTAATATTGGAAATTTGAAAATTTTTTTTTGGAAGAAATTTCAAATTTCTAATGTTAATACTTGGATTAGTACCCATTGGTTAGTACACATAGTTTTATTCATTAGCTAATATAAGTGAACAATAAAAAGAATAAGTTTTCATAATTTTTATTGTATGATAAATTGGAATTTTTATGCTTTTAGTATTGGATAAAGTTATAAATCGTTTATCAATACTATCTAAGGATATGATAATTTTAAAATTATTCTTTAAAAATAAAAATTATCTATCTTTACTAAGAAGCAAGCCAGTAATAGTGAAAGTTTATTTAGAGTAAACAAATCAAGTTGAGGAACATGAATGCATAACTAACCAGTATAAGAACCAAAAATCATAACCTCCTGATTTTTTTCAAAACTTGAAGCTTCATTGCAGCAAGTTTTTTTCATCATTATAGGATGTTTTGTAGTTGTCGATTAATAGGGATCACAAACAAGAAGTTTTTTTATGAAGAGAGTGTCAGTGAACAAAGCAAAGAAAGATTTTGAAACACACTTGAACCGGCATAGAGACAAGCCATACCGAGCAAAGAAAAAAAAATTTAGGGTTCAAGCTAGGGTTTACTAAAAGAATAGATGAACCATTATTAAAATCAATAAGAAGACTAATATAATGATACCGAAACAATAATAGAGATGACTGAAATCCCAAAAAAAAAAACAAATGATATAAAAAACCACCACCAAATTATATCAAGATTCGGATACTAGATTGGATAAAAAAAAAACATACAAGGTTCTTAATATTTCATTCAATATAAAATAATAATAATAATAAATAAAATAAAAACTGCTCCAGCTGAACCAACCTTTAAATAGTTCCCCTAGAAAAACCTAATCTAAAAAATCAAAGAAAAAGGAAAATTAAACAATTATCGGAAAATTTTAAAGGTCCAGAAACTTCAAAAACTTGTAAAAACACCCCTATAATAGATATTGAATACATATAGCATTATAGCCAATTAACCAAATATAGATGCATCCATTACACATCTTTAATTAATACTATCCTATATACTATACATATAGATATATATATGGCATCACCAATGAACTGGGTTATGAATTTTAAAACCTTTCCCTTTAATTGTTTTTTATCCAAACTTCTACCTCAACTCCTTATCGATTGAATCTTGAAATAATTTTTTTTTTTTTTCAATAATAGATATTGCATACATGAAACTAAGAATCACTGCTACCTTTACTGATATACCAATTGGGTGATACAAGGCTTTCTGTAAACACAAGCACACAGCAAAAATTTGGAGCTGGAAGGCCAACAACCTTAACCTCCGTCCAAGTTCCATCAATTTCTTGATAGCATAAAATTGGGTTTCCATCACCATCTTTCAAGAAGAATGCCATTCCTCTATTTAAACATAGATTTAGAGTTGGTTTCTGAGGATGTTCTTTTGATATAAAAATTCGAGTCCAAGAATCTACCACCCCATATTCTTTCATCACCCAAATTTCATAAACATTATTTTCATTCTTCCAAAGTTCATAATTAAGTTTTCCCTTAGTTACCAGCATGCAAAGGCAGCCATCAACAACATCAAGAATAGGGATAACAGATTGAAAATAATCAGGAAGAGGAGGAAACCTTATAAACTTCTCTTCCACCAAATCGAATGAAACAATTGAATATCCATTATCACGGGAATAAGGCAACCAGTGTAGAGCGCCATTGAGAGGAGTCCCACTTCCAATGAGATTCTCTTCATACTGATGAATTGTTTCTTAAAGAGAAGACATGTGTGACTGTTGTCCAGGCAGAAAGTATCACCATTTTGTAGTCATCAATTGACGGAGCATACCCGAAACCTTCTCCTTCAATTGGATAATCATCCTTCCTTTCTTTGAGGAGGATGAGTTTGAGGTACTCATTCATATAATTTGGTACTTCCATGGAGCACTCTCTGGTGGAGGGATTGTAGAAATAGAAAACACGGCGTTTAGGAACATAAAGGGAGAACAAACCATTACAAGAACCGATCGTTTCAACCATTTCTTCCGAAAAATCGAGCCTCATTGCATCAAGCTTTTCGTCATTAGAAGAAGATGATGTTTCGGGGTTGATGATGATTTAAACAAGTGACGTTACAATATATTGAATAATCGAAATAAATAGAAAGTCAATTGTAATTGTATAGCAGGGTATCACTTACTTCCCTAGATTTATTTGAAATGGTTATTGGGATGAACTATCACCATTTTGAAACTCCCCCTAATTATTTAAAAATTCATCAATCAGCCCCCTAAAGGCCAACGTGCCAATTGCGTTAGCATTTTGTTAGGTTTTAAGGAAAGAATTATCTATTTTATTCTTAGACTAACCATAATTGACCTCCACCCATCGCCCCATAGCAACACAACCTCCTCTCCATCTCTCAAGATGGTTGTGGTCTCAAGAGGATAGTGATTTGTAATTTTTTTGTTTTTTTTTTTTTAAAACAAGGAGTTCGGACCAACTTGAACACAAGCGCTTAAATCTTTAGAGTTAAGAGGATTAGAAGTTGAGATCATGTATTCTAACAACATATCCTAACGTTCGTCCTACCACTTAAACTACCCAAGAGTGAGTTAGTGATTGGTAATATGTCGAAAGTCTAGATCAAATTATGAATTTAGATACTTCATGGGTCAAATGGGTATATAAGTAAACAATAAAAAAAAAATATTTTCATAATTTTTATTTTAGGAAAATTTGGAATTTTAATATTTTTAGTGTTAGATAAAGTTATAAATGGTTTCGATACCATCTAATGACTAATGAGATGATCATTTTAAAATTATTCTTTTTAAAAAAACAAAAAAAAAAATTGAAAATTACCAACAAACCAACCCACAAATTGGGTCAACCCGACCCAGGATAATGATTTGAGATCCTCATCTCCAACGTTTAATCCTATTTTAATTTCAATCCCTAAATTTCTTTTCTCACAGAAATAGTACACTCCCTATATTTCCTCTGAATTTTCATGGGATTTCGACCGTTAACACCCTAATTCGTAAATTTTCCTTCGTTTTCTATCTGGGTTTCCAACTTTCCCTCAAGTTTTCTCGCACTTCCTCACCTGGGTCTCTCTCAGAATGGGCAAAAACCAAGCTTACAAGGCCATGCAGCGAGCTCGCCTCGGCTCCAGCTCAGCTGCGCCGGAAGAGATCGAGGACGGCATGGTTTGTACCCTTTCATACTACTCTTTAATAACCTTTTTTTTAATTTTCGATTGTTAATTATTGTTATTATTTTATTGAATTATTTAGTTGCTTCTGCTTAGTGTCATTACTTTCATTTTAATTATTTTTTTAATTTATTCAATCAAAAATTGCTAACTTGATGCACTTTTAAAAGGTTATTTGGATTGTGTACACAAATTGATAATCTTTTAGCAGTTTATTTTTATTGTTTTGTTAATTTGTAACTATTATGTGTTTTTAAGTAATAAAATTGCTAAATTGATGAGCTTTTAGAAGGGTATTTGGAGTTATTTAGTTGCTTCTACTTAGTGTTGTTAGTTTATTTTATTCTTATTAATAGTATTATATGCTTTCTCAGTGATATAACTGTTATATTGATAAAACTATTAAAAGGGTATTGAGATTGTGTAAATAAATTTATAGACTCTTAAAAGGGAAATCACGGTACTGTTGTTTGGATTATTGGTAACATTCGACATGATATTTGTAACATCTTTTGTGAAATTAGTGAGGAAGTATGAATTGTATGTAATGCTGATTTGGTTTTGTATTTTAGTAATATACAACGTGTGACGGTTAATGTTTTAGATCTAATTTGCTTCTTAAAGTTTATGCTTATTTGAAGGAGACATTTTGCACCTTTTATTTATGTTTTAAATTTTCAATTTATGTTGGCAGTGAATTTTGAGCGATGTTTTGGAAATTGAATGACAAAACAATCTGTTGGCGATGAGAATTTATATAGGTAGATAGGTTTAACACAGTACCTAAATAATCGGTTGGGATACACTGGTTTATGCGGATGTAAATCTTAAATCATCTTCTAGAGATATGCATGTAAAAGCTTTCTTGACATGCATTTTGAAAATTTCATTCAGTTCTGTAACTGTACTATGGATGATTATCTTTTCCTGGAATATTTCTGATGGGGCCCTCGCAGGTGGATGGGTCTTTTCATTCACCAGAGTGGCATGCTGCTCGTTTGGCCAGCCTTAAAACTTCTCATACAATTACCTGGGAAGAATTCAAAAAGAAGCAAAAGGTGAGCTGTTGCGCATAGCTATAATTGTTCTTTTCATTCAATATAACTCAAATTTGGCACAAACTTGCAATTTTAACCGTACACTGCTATAAATATGTGTAAAGTTTAATTTAATTATCTGTCTCTACTGAGAAGCGGGCCATTATTAATAATAGTGTAAGTTTATTTAGAGTAGAAGAATAACGATGGAGCTTATGTTCGCTTTTGCAACCCGTAGTAGAGTACTTGCAAACTATGCTAACATTGGTCCTGGGATTGAACTAAACTTGTATTTAGGTGCACTAGCACTAGCATTAATTGAAAGAAAGCTCAAAATGTTGCATTTAGAATAAGATTATTTAGCAAAACTTGAGCTGTGATATAATTGGGATTATTTGCTTTTGTGCTTCTATGACTATGTGTTAGGAAAATATAACGGAGTTTTTTTTATTTCTGCACTTCTGGATTTGAAGTTATACCAAGGGCAAAAACTTGTGTTTGCATATTCCTAAATATAATAAAACTGGGCTGATAGTATGTGGCTGTTAAGAGACAAATAAAATAAAGTTACCATTCAATCTTGATATTATGTTTCNTTAAATTTTCAATTTATGTTGGCAGTGAATTTTGAGCGATGTTTTGGAAATTGAATGACAAAACAATCTGTTGGCGATGAGAATTTATATAGGTAGATAGGTTTAACACAGTACCTAAATAATCGGTTGGGATACACTGGTTTATGCGGATGTAAATCTTAAATCATCTTCTAGAGATATGCATGTAAAAGCTTTCTTGACATGCATTTTGAAAATTTCATTCAGTTCTGTAACTGTACTATGGATGATTATCTTTTCCTGGAATATTTCTGATGGGGCCCTCGCAGGTGGATGGGTCTTTTCATTCACCAGAGTGGCATGCTGCTCGTTTGGCCAGCCTTAAAACTTCTCATACAATTACCTGGGAAGAATTCAAAAAGAAGCAAAAGGTGAGCTGTTGCGCATAGCTATAATTGTTCTTTTCATTCAATATAACTCAAATTTGGCACAAACTTGCAATTTTAACCGTACACTGCTATAAATATGTGTAAAGTTTAATTTAATTATCTGTCTCTACTGAGAAGCGGGCCATTATTAATAATAGTGTAAGTTTATTTAGAGTAGAAGAATAACGATGGAGCTTATGTTCGCTTTTGCAACCCGTAGTAGAGTACTTGCAAACTATGCTAACATTGGTCCTGGGATTGAACTAAACTTGTATTTAAGTGCACTAGCACTAGCATTAATTGAAAGAAAGCTCAAAATGTTGCATTTAGAATAAGATTATTTAGCAAAACTTGAGCTGTGATATAATTGGGATTATTTTCTTTTGTGCTTCTATGACTATGTGTTAGGAAAATATAACGGAGTTTTTTTTATTTCTGCACTTCTGGATTTGAAGTTATACCAAGGGCAAAAACTTGTGTTCGCATATTCCTAAATATAATAAAACTGGGCTGATAGTATGTGGCTGTTAAGAGACAAATAAAATAAAGTTACCATTCAATCTTGATATTATGTTTCACCCAAACCTCATCATTTCAATGGCCCTATCTGATTCTTTTATGTTTATGTAATATTGTTTCCTTCAATATATTCATGTTTAGTTACAACATTTTCTTAATGCGTTCCTCTGAATATGTGCAAGTTACTGGTTTTGGTGCTTGCATTAATATTTGTAAATTTATGAAATTACATGTTTGTCACATATATTTGTACTTGATGTTCTAGGAAGATGAAGTAAGAAAGGGTGAACAAGAAGCAGATACCAATAGAATGATGCGAGAGTACAGAGCTCAGTTAGATGCTGAAAGGGCACGCAAGCTGGCCCACGGGAGGAACTACTCTAGCAGTAAATCTAGTAATAAAAAGGGTATGCGTACAAGACCTTGAAAAAGGAACATCTTATCTCATTCTTTTATGATTACCCACCATATTTTCCTGGCTCTCTAATGGTGATATGTGTTCTTGTAGATAGGAAGGATAGAGATTTGAAGAAACGCAGCAGCAAAAAGAGAAAGGTGCAGTACTATTCAAAACAAACCTTTTATTTAGATTGGAGTTGAATGCCTATTATGTTAATGTTATCTTAAATTGAATGTGACATGAAAGGGAGATGATACTAAATTGGACATAATATTTTTTTCTTATCAATGAACTAATGAAACTGGAAACACAAGTCACAATCTTCTAATCTAATTAATGTTGTTATGTAGAACCTCTGGCAATTGCTTCTAGGTTTGATAAGAGTAAACATCTTCAGTCACTTTAATGAAATTCATCATTAGAGGTGTAGTCCAAAATTTAAGTCAGTGTCAAACAATTAACCCATATTTTGAATGTTGAGATCCTTGCCCTTTGTATTAGGAAGATATTGCCCTTTCCTCGTGTTTGTATTATGCTGAGTTCATATTGGTTTAGCAGCCATATGAATCTGAATGTCTTTCATGGTTAGGATACACTCAAAAATTTATTCTTGTGTTGAAATAATCCAGCCATGTAAAGTTAATCACAGACAAAAGAAAAGTACTCAGAGCACCCAGTTTGGTGCTTTCTGTTTGTGTATTAGCTGCAAGGAATCTCGCTGAATCCTCATTGTTGGAATATTTCTTATGTGCAACAAATAGAGGTGGTTCATGCTTGAGGAACTGCATTCATAAACCATGCAGCAAAGAATTTCAATTTGGTTGTGAACAAAACAGCATGTCATTTCACATGTTGAGAAATGATGATGTGTTACCGGGTCAGATGCATCAAAAGAGACTGAGTGGAGTACTATTTCTAGTTAATTCGTGCTTTGATCTTTATTAGCTCGCCTTTGAGTTGCTTCCGTCACATTATTGCTTATATGCAAATTTCATTCTTGATTGTTATAGTTTTTCTTTTATAAGATATATATATATACACACACACATCAATTTCAAGAGTGTTAACTTATCTTCTTGTAAAATTTTGTCGTTCAGCATTCAAGGCGGAGATCTTCTGAGTCAAGCTCCTCAAGTTCATCCTCGGATTCATCAAGTAGTGACGATGAAGAAAGAGAATCAAGAAGATCAAAGTCCAGGTCTAAGAGATCAAAGAAAGAAAAGAAGTACAAATCAAGAACCAAGCACTCTGGCAGTGATGATGAAGAAGCTGGTGGTCCTGTACCACTTTCAAAATTCTTTGGGAATGCTAAGAGTTAACTGCATGATTTTCAAAGACGGTGGTGTACTTAATACAATTTTCTTCTATAGGAGATGAATGGGTTCTTTTATTGTTTTGCCTAGCGAATTCGAGTATAATTGTTCTTCCTCTATCCAGTGATGATGATGTTTATTTGACCTTTAATCTCCGTACTTGAGCTCCCAATTCTGTTTTCTTTACTCTAAGCCAGTGATGTAATATATCAGAATGACTAATAATGAACTGTATCATATAAATTTGTGTACCAGAGTTATGGAAATTACTTTTTGAGTCAAGAAATAGGAGAAAGAATTTTCTTTCACAGGCTTTTTAGTTGTAAAACAACTGCCCTCTTTTGATGGGGAATTTGGGAAATGACAAGAGAAACGGCATCATCGCATTTGTAATATCTGTAAGTTTTATGTCATTATAAATTTTGATATTTCATAAATATAATGTTTCATATACCGTAAGTGTAACGTCTCACGTTATAATCTGTCTCCTGTCAAGTGTCAACATAACATTATTCTAATTAAAGTGAAATGACATTATTGTTGCAAGAAATCATTTCAATCCAATTAATGGCAAGAGGTTGGTTGATGGTTAAAGAGATTCACGCCTTTCTTTTAGATTTTAGGTTCTAAGTGTTAAGAGTTATTTATAGCAATATCATTATGACTTATTTGATCTTTATGACTTACTTGATTTTTTAAGTTTATAAAATGTTTAATAGACTTTGAGGATTAGTTAAAATGCCGAGCATTGTTTTAAAAACCGGATCGGAGGGCAACCCGCTCTACTGGTCGGGTTACGGTTCAACCGGTCCAATGATGTCATCACACATCATGATGACATCCGCACATTTTTTAAAAAAACCCTTTTTTCTTTTAGATTTCTGTTTTTTAATAAGACAATAACAACTTATCTACTGTTCAACATGATTTAAAGTTCAAATTCAACAACAATCCCAACATAATTTCAGTATTTAACAACAATTCAAAGTTCAAATTCAAACATGATGTTATATGTACATATTAAATGACAAAATACATAATAATTAATAACAAAACATTTGATGTAAGTCTTTTTTCTTTGATCCGTCTCTATGTTGATTGAGTTTCACATACTAGGATCAAAATTCATCACCATCATCATCATCATCATCATCATAAGCATCATCATAAGTCTCAGTCTGCAAATGTGCAAAAATGTTATACATAAGTCTCAATCTCAACAAAATAGGGCTCAGTCTGCAAATTTTCATGCTCCATTGTACTTCGTGTAGAGTGATACATAAGTCTCAGTCAATGATGTATTTCTAGTAGTCTTTTCTTTCTTTTCAACATCTCTTTATGTTCTTGTTTCTCTTTATATATCAAGATAAATGCAAAGACTAATAAGTGTATGAACTAAACAGGACCAGAAATAAGCCAAAAAATGAAATATAAATAACCAATAAGCATCCAAAGCCTATATCATTTTCAGTACTTGGTGTTGTAAATTACTTGTATTTCTACTAAACATATGTGTATGCATGCAGATCAAATCCTAAACATGAACCATAAATAACTTCTATACAGAAATATACTATACATTAAATGATACTAACATTTATGACATACTGTAGGAACCTGACCTGTAATTTATCAATAATACTACAATCTAGCTACAGTTCCAATCCAGAACACAATCAAACAGGAATCTCTATATTAATAGCAGCAAAACAGTACATCCGAATAATATACCCAGACCCTGTTTACATAATATTCACAAATGAGAATCCAACAATTAAGCTAAGTATAAAAAGAGAAAACAAAATGATAATACTGACTTTGAGGTCAGTCACCTCCCTTTCCAATCTTAATCAACTTTTTCAATGCCTCTCCCTTTTCCCTCTTCCTCCTTTATTCCCTCCTGGCACCTAAGTTTACTCCTAACAGAATTTCCCTCTCTCTAATCCCCTCAGGCCACCTGTCCCTTCATAACAAATTCTTCTAACCTCCTATATGGCAATTATTCCCCTACTTCTTACCCCACTTCTTCCTACGGTAAACCCTCCCCTTGGTTGCTCATCACATACCTATGGAGCAATACTTTGTAACAACACCAGAGCCTGGTGCAGACTTGCTTTCACCCACGGCTTAACCTGATGTGTGATAATTTAAAGTACATGTTAAAATCCATATGACCAAAGACTAATTCACCAATCAAAGAAATCTATTTTTAACTAGATACTTTTGTACTAAATTGTCTCATCTCAAAGGAACCAAAAATAAATGAAAATTGGCATCTATTTAAGAAGAAAAAACTACCTCCAAACCCAGTTCACAGGCCTTTTTAGCGACAAGACCACCCTGCAGTAAAGAAAAGAATTATATTGTGACAAGAGGGACAAATAACCATAAGCATCTATACTTTATTTTATTGTGTAGCATGTCTATTGATGATTATTCATATTTCACATCTATGGATAGTTTTGTGAAAGCTGAAAGCATAAGACTGCTAAACTTTTCATCCTTAAAAAAGGACAAAGAGAAGCACACATTTCAGATTTCACAGCAAACTCCCCGAGATTTATGAATACTTCGTTTTAAAAATGAAATTTATAGAGATGTCAATTATTAGAATAAAGAAGCATAGAAACTCCAATCAATAAAAAGTATTCAGTCCACTAAATTTATTGTTTGCAACTCACCTTGAATCAAATTGGATTGTCGAGACATGGATGCTAATCAGCCTTCATGCGTCGATTTCCGGTGAAGGAGGAACGCGTCGTCGATTTCTGACGAGGGAGGAAAGCGTCGTCGCCATTTCAGAGACTGGAGTTGCGATCGATTTCAGCATCGAATGGTTGCAATTTCAACAATGAATGGTTGCGATTTCAGCAAGATTTAGTTTTGATTGGTGTGAAATTTCAGATTTTCGTGATTTCATTCAAAAAAATTCATAGTGTTTTGCGCGTAGAGGAAATGAGGAAGAAGAAACTGCGCGATGGGAGAAAGTGAGAAAATTAGGGATTTTTTTGCCCTTTTCAGTGTTGGGCCGCTTTTTCTTACGATCCGGTTGGACCGGCGGTCCAACACTATTCACGCAATCCAATAATGGGTTAAAACGGGTTACTGCATAATGCCGGTTTTCATAATGACTCGAACCGGACACGTGACCAGTTCACGGTCCAACCGGTTGGACCGGCTGGTCTGGTCCGGCTTTTAAAACAGTGATGCCGAGACACCTCGGTTAACAAAAAAAATAAAAAATCATTCCAATCCAAGTTCTGCAAAATACAGATATCCCAGATGAGCATAATGCTCCTCTTCTCATCTCATTTGGTAATAGACATAAATATTTCGGCAACAATAAACAAAGTATCACGTTGTTTTTACATCTGCTCAATGTGATTTTCAAAGCTGGGTCATATAAATAATTGAGTTATTTGGTGTTATTATGCAGTAAGAAATCAGTGCAGACAGAGAAGTGAAGTCTGATGATAATGAGAAGTTGACTCAATTCGATAGAACAACAATAAAATTGAAAAGCAAGACAGCTGATACAAACACCATTACAAATGTTTCAGGTCACTGAATCCTGCCCATAATCAAATGTTTCGACTCAATAGCCATCCGGATTTGGACGGGACATATTTACATGAAGAACTCAATTAAGCAAAAACATAAAAAACGAGGAAATGACATTGATTAAAGCCACAATAAATAACCAGTGCAGGATTCATCACCGTTCACTGGTGTCGATACTCGGGGTTAAATGCAAGAGCCTCCTGATAAATCAGCTCCTTCATCTGCCCCTCGGACAGAGCATGCTGCTCAAAGTCAAAGCTGAAGGGACTCATGCAGACAGGCTCGTCGCTTATATCATGCAGCGACGCAAGGTAGGGATGTGCAAGTGCATCCTCAACTGTAATAAATAAAATCAATTGCAGATCAGAAATCAAAGTGATGATTTAATGAAAGAAAATGAATTGCAGCATGCTATAACCCAAAAACCATTGTATTGGCCTGCTAGCATTATTAGGTTGGATTCATTAGCATGCAAAATTAACAAACCTGTAATCCGTTGTCTCGGATCAAATGTTAGCATCTTCTCAACAAGATCAATAGCTAAAGGGTGGACACTTGCAAACTTTTCAGTGAATGACTGTCGATTATGAGGAGGAAGTTGCCGAATGTATCTCTTGGCATTTTCATTCAAGAACTCGATGTCAGCTTCTGATGGAGTACCAATCAGCTGTAAGGTGAAATGTTCATTAATCATACGAACACAGAAATTTACACCAAATTTTGTGAGTTACTTAGCAAGGAATTAAAAAATGCACGCATGTACCTATAAGCACTAATTCATGCATGCAATGACTAGTAAAGATATTCAAGAAGCAAGTTGTAATGATAGTTAATCTAAAACATGAAACCATAAATGGAAAAATAGCAGGGATTTTAATAGTCAAAATAGCTGACAGTGTAAAAAAATATAAGGGGCTGGTAATGTGATAATGCGATTTTTGGGTACTGATAATTAGAAGTATAGTATAACGCTTTTACTTCATTTTAACATTTCATTTCAAATATACAAATTATAATTCTGAGTTAAGACTAAATCTTCAACATTTCTCAGTCTGTTAATAAACATCACAATATTTTGACTCAGCTTTTTAAATATTTCACCACCAGAATTATTAACTTTACGTCCACACCACCCTGTTAACCAACGGATTTTTCCTTCTTTGATAATCATTGGATTTGAACACACTTGTGACTTATAGGTTTATCATTCAACCTTATATACATGAAGATTTCCTTCAAGCAAAACAAATAACAGAAGGCAACTTTGGGATTATAATCTCAGAAGATTAAATGGGCTTAAATACAATCTAAGCATGTATAGAGGCATAAAATACTTCAAGTTTCTTTTTAAGTTCCCACATTTTTAAACGAATTTTCATCATTCATTTTTCCGAGGACATTAATTTCTTATTCTACAATATGCTTATTGGCATATCCAACAATACCAACATTTAAAACCATGAATATACCAATAAAACATTGAGTATAAGTTACCTCCATAAGCAAGCGAAGCTGATGCACATGATCTCTGCCAGGAAATAATGGCTTCCGATCCATCAATTCCATAAAAATACAACCCACTGACCATACATCAATAGCTGCAGTGTAATCAGAAGAGTTTAAGAGCAGCTCTGGCGCCCGATACCATCTTGTAACAACATATTCTGTCATAAAATCAGTTTCTGAGGTGACACGAGCTAGTCCA